ATGAACAACTATCTTTTTTTTTTTAAATTTTTTTTCTCAACAAAGACATAAATAACACTTATTTAGAGGTTACTTGAGATATGCTTTAAGTGCACATAGACTTTGAAATTTAGTACCAAATGCATAAGTACGATAATAATTTATGATTAAACGATAAAACATCATTTTTTTTGTTTATTATTTAAGGCATGGGACCACCGAAATCTGTGCGCAGTTAAGGTCTATTGTTGACATTTAAGAAAATTCATTATTTAGTTTTGTTTCGTAATATAGTATGTATCATGCTCCTTATAATGATAATAGGTTAAACCACAATTTGGTCCCTCTACTTTGATAAAATACTCTTTTTTAGTCCCTTTATTTAAAAAAACCCTTTTTAATCCCTAAAGTTTGAAATTTGGTCCATTTTTAATTTCTTTGTTAAGTTTTCATATTATATGATAGAAATTTCAAAGTAGAGGAACAAAAAACTTTTTTCAAAGTAGAGAAACCCAAAAAGAGTTTTTTTTTTTTTTTTAATTTTAAAGTAGAACGACTAAATTAGGGTTATTTTTAGTCCCTTTTTAGCCTTTTTTTGATTCATTTACTATTTTGAGGGACTAAAAAGAGGTTTTCTAAGTAGAGGGACTAAAAAAGATTTTTTACCAAAGTAAAAGTACCAAAATAGGGATTTAACCATGACAATATTTCTCATTACCAAATACATTATTTAATAACCCTATAAGTTAATGAAAAAAGTGCATCCTGTAATAACTTTATTCATTTCTAAGAGTAATATTTTGTAATAATATTTTTTATTTTCAAATATATTATTTAACAACACCATAAGTCAGTGTAAAAATTACATTTTGTAAACCTTTGAACATTTGTGAAAGTAATATCACTTTTAGTAATGATTAGTCATTGCCATTATTGCTAAAAGTGATATAAAATAACTTTAGTGGAGTAGTTACAATATTATCTTTTATCACCAATATTTATTATTGTTAAATCTGTTATATAACAGTATTATAAATTGTTGTAAAAATTTACACTTTATAATAACTTTAAATCATTTCTAAAACTAATATTTTATAGCAATAATGGTCATTACGAAAAGGGCATTGAATAATTTTAGTGGTTATTAAAATGAATATTTGCAACCATAAAAGTATTAGTCAAAAATATAATTTTGTAATGTGATTAGTAGTTTATGAAGTTAACTAAACTATAACTATGGCTTTTGAAAATTTATAGGTATAGGGGACTGCTATACCTATAATTGATCTTGACCATAGGTAAAAGTTTTACTTTTATACTTACACTAAATTATTTTCGCAGGTAGTGTTGTTTTATTCTTACAATTTTATAAAATTGTAGATATATTTAGACCATACATATACAAATCAATAAATTATAGGTATAAACACTTATATTTACAAAATTAATAATGTAAATAAAAAAATAGTGTAGTATATGGCAATTTGAATGTTGTGCAAGGCTATGGTTATGGCCATAAAGAAGATGTTAAGGTACCATTAACTATGTAATATATGATGATAAAGTTGTTGATACTTTTAATTATATATTTAAAATTTAATTTTTAATTTTTATATAAAAATGTTAAGGTTAATAAAAATGATTAAATTTTTATTTTAATTTAATTCTTAAAAATAATTAATTATTAAT